AATTAGTTAAGCAAAGGGACAAATTTACCTTATTTATTCTTGGTAAACTTCTTGGTGCCGGTCACGGTAGCCGAGCGGTCTAAGGCATGTACTGTCTTCGCTCGCTTGGAAACCGGGATCGTGGGTTTGAATCCCACTCAGGGCATGGATGTTTAGTTTGTGTGTGTGCGTTTTTCTGTGTTTGTGTACAGGTAGAGGCCTTGCGACGAGCTGATCATCCGCCCAAGGAGTCCTACCGAATGTGTAAGATCTAGAGAAACCGAAGTGAACGGAGAAGTTCATTGAGGTAGGCCTAGGCCACTGGGGCTGTAGTGCCAAGGAAAAAAGAAACTTCTTGGTTCGAATCCACAACGTACTTTTAATTATGTGCTACTGATAATACCAACATGAAATCTGCGCAAAACGCTGAAGTGCCATTTAATTGAGGCCCTAACATTTTGTATCAGGACGAACCTTTGAAGAATAGGCCCGGTCAATAAAGATTAGTCTGTTGTGCATGGCACAAAATTCTATTTATACAGCATTTAGTTTTCCATTTTATAGGCATAGCGAATTAACCTTTCCTGGGAAGAATCAGCGGTAGGCCCTACTCCACACACCAGTGGGCGTGTTCGTATACATTAATAATACAGCATAACTTAAAAATACTTCGTCCTTGCCGAATTCTCCCCCAGGACCGTAAAGAGAAGTCACGAACCGTAATTAAGGAACTGAATGATCGTGGTCGTTGTGAAGGTGCTATTCGGCCTTGAGAGACTGAGGAAAACAACGAAAAACCCCAGTCAAGATAGCTTGTGATTTGCTCGAATTTCAAACCGAATGCCACATGCATATGAAACTGGAGCCTTATCGCAACACCAAACTCCTCGGCGACCCCTTCGGCCCACATTATTTCTAACTTATGAATCTTAATCCTCTTTGCTATGCTACATGCGGTTAGCGGAGCCTCGTTACATAAATCAAGAAACAAACAGCGTTAGCATGTTCATTGCGGTTACGTGCCGGTGTTACTGACACATCGAAGGCCCCGGGCTTTATCTCGTCATCTTCCCACGCTCTCACGTGCCTCTCATGAGGCAGTCCAAGCGTGGCTCCTCGCTAGAGGGTTACTCATCAACCGGTCCGCAATTATTTTGGGCAGTTTTATTCTCGAGAGGAAGTTCTGCTGGTCGTCACTGTGTGCTTGTTGGAGGTGGACGGGGGGGGGGGGAACTGGGCAAGGACGATAAAAAGATAAGAATGGAAAACACGAAAAGGTAAAGTGAACAGAAGGAAAGGAAAGAAGGCGGAAGAAAGTAGTAAGGTAAGAGTGACGGAATAAAGAAAGACAAAGAGATAAAAGGAAATAAAACGAAAGAAGGAAGGGACGGGAATGGAGAAAGATATAAATGGAGGAAGAAAGAGACAGAATGAATGACGGAACAAAGACAGCGGAAGAATAAAATGAGGGACTAAAATAGGGAGAAAGGGAAATAGGGAAGAAGGAAGAGATATGTTAGGAACAGAGAACTGGAGAAAAAAAACAAAGAACGGCAGGAAGAAACGGAGAATGAAAGAATATCGAAAATGATAAAAAATAAAGCAATGGAAGCCGAATTTGGGAAAAAGGAAAAGAAACAATGAAAATAGGAAAGAAATGAAAGATAATCGGAAGGAAAAAGATAAGAAACAAAGCCAAAGATGATAAAGAAAAGGAGAGGAACAGGTAAAGGAGGAGGAAAAGAATCGTTGACTTCGTGCCGGCTTATCTCTCTGCAGAGAACAATCGTAATGATGCTGCGTGACACTGCAGCAACATAAAGCGCCGATAGAGCGACACATGCGTTATCCTGCCATACGTGCATCTGTCAGAAATAGTCTCTCTGTCGTCACTGTCGGTCATTTTCATGAAAATTGTTTATTTAGAAGAGATTTACAAAAGTGTGGTTTGTAACTTTCTTTTCCAGTATGATTGGGTTGACTGCACTCGGATCTCCTCGTTGGAAATGAAGACGTTTCCATATCATTAGCGAAGCAGCGGCCGCTCGGCTGTTAACAAACAATGAGACACAGATTGCATCCCTCATAAAGAAGCCAAGTGCCTGCTGGCTCGTATTAGAAATGAGATGGTTCCTTATCATCGGCCAGAGAGACCGAGTAGAAGCAGTGACAATTCAGCTATGAAGAAACTATGAGCGAGATACTACAAAGAACAACAAAACTCCTTGGTTTTAGACCGCATGCAAACTATACCGACCGAGCGACCGCCGCTTGTCGGCGAAGTTAGTGCCAACTTTTGCGGATAGATGGTGTCGCGTGGTCAGTGCAACGAATCCCCGCGGCCGTTAATTTCGGCTTTCTTGACCGGAGCCGTTATTGCCCCTCAGTTATCCTCACGAGGCTGAGTGAACCCCGTTCCAGACACACTACTTCTCAGAAAATCTGGTAGCGCCGGGAATCGAAACCGGACCTCTGGATCTGTAACCAGGAACTCTTGACCACTAGACCACAGAGGCGGTCGAGAGAACGACTACAGCTCTCATAAAGAAGCACTCCCAAACCTTTTCTTGTTAATAACGTCTCTTTCTCTCTTGAATTTCGCATAAATCCTTCCTTTTTCTTGTTGCTGTTCCTACGTGTGCCTGCCCAGGGACAACATGATTTAAACTCCTGGTTCCTTCACAGAGTCAACTTACGTGACTTGGCCATTCGGTTATGGACTGCAAGGAACAGAGACCTGGGCGGGACATGCAGTGCCTTCACCTGCCCAAATGGGGAGATGCTCGCTCCAGCATCAGGTTTTGGACCTGCTTTTCGAGAGCAGCGGTCTTTGCTCTTTTTATCAGCTGTATCTCGTAACACAAGCTGCAGAATCAACTCATAGCGCGTGTCGCTTGCCCGAGAGGTCATGGGGGCATGCCCCGCTCTCACTATCCTGACAGTGTTATCACCAACTTGTGTTTCATTTACGCATCTGTTCATTTAGTGACGCTGTCAGTAGCTCAGAATGTAAACCGTCGAAAGGTGGAATGATTATATGAACAACAAATTATAAATGATGTGGAAAGAGGCAGTAGTGACGTCATCTGCAGCGCATATTGTCTGAATGTTCCTGGAGATAATGAGAGAAGTGTGAAAGCTCTTGACCGGTCTCTAGATCAAGATCCAACCCAGAACATGTTGAAGAGGAAGCACAGTGCAAGCAGCTCTACAGGAACCTTCCTTATCAGTTCTTACTTGGATATTTGTTCTGGTCGTAATGGAATCCTGTTAAGTATATTCATTTAAACCTCTTTCACCGAATATGACATTTAACGTTCCTGTATTCTCCATCTTTTTTTTTTCCTTGGCACTACAGCCCCAGTGAGCCTAGGCCTACCTCCATGAACTTCTCCGTTCACTTCGGTTTTTCTAGATCTTACACATTCGGTAGGACTCCTTGGGTGGGTGATCAGCTCGTCGCAAGGCCTCCGCCTGTATACAAACACAGAAAAACGCACACACACAAACTAAACATCCATGCCCTGAGTGGGATTCGAACCCACGATCCCGGTTTCCAAGCGAGCGAAGACAGTACATGCCTTAGACCGCTCGGCCACCGTGACTGGCGTATTCTCCATCTGCCAGTCTTTAATTCGGTCGTTCACCACACGCGTGCAATGTAGATGACACATCTAACCTCGGTCCATCTCCTGTTATTATTATTATTATTATAGCAGCATGAGGTAGCGTAGTTGGTTGAGTCACTATGCAACAAGCCGGAAGGTCACGGTTTCGATTCCTGATGTCGCTGGATTTTTCAATTTACCTAATCCTTCCAGCCGCACCATGGCCCTGGTGTCGACTCAGCCTCTAACAGCAATGAATAGCAGGAATCTTCCTGGGAATAAGGGTAAGCCGACGTGTAAGGCTGACAACCTCATCGCCATCTGTGAGCCGATTGTCTAGAGCATGTGGGAGCCTCGAATTCTCGCCACCCTATGTGCCTCTATGGCCTGTTACAGGGATAGCTTTACATTTTTACCTTTATTATTATTATTGTTATTGTTGTCGAACTGAACTGAATTATTATTACTATGTATATGTATGCTCTGTCTGTAATTGACCTTGCGGCTGTTGACTCAGCACATAATAAATAAAGAATTTAATTGAATTATTATTATCATTATTTTATATCAGTTTTAAATTCTCACCTGGTAGCTTACAATTGAGCGTAGTTCTTGTGTAAGGTCATCTGAAAATTCACTATCAAATTATAAGATAGTCTTACATGCTAAATTATTAAGTGATCATAGTGTAACTTTCGACTATAAATTCAACTTCAAAACTGCCATAAAGTGATTAACGTTATTAAGGTGGATCTGTAGTCATTTATACATCAGTGTGACTATATGGGTAATTCGACGTGTTGTTTAATAAATCAACCGTCAAATACCAACAACTCTTGTCATTGTGTACAAGGTTTTGTGGTACAGTGTTGCTCCTGCCCTGTTAGAACAAGGCCCATTAAGACTCAGGGACTGATCTCCTGTTCTGGCAAAACCCAGCCTGAGCTAGTCATTCTGCTACATATCCTTACCAGGAGGCATGCTACAAATTTGAAGCCACCTCCACCTGGCGACTACTGTCGCCCAAACAAGTCCTTCAGCTAGACTTTAAAGGATTCTGACGATGGTGTATACTGAACTTCTTTTGGCTTGTTTTGGACTTGTCTTTTACATGCCAGATGATGGACAAAGTCCAAAACAAGCGACAAGTAAAGTCCTTCAGCCTTCCCAAACAATCATATCAACACCCATGGAAGAGGAGGTGAGAATAAACCCAGCACAGGTGACTTCTACAAGCACAGACATAGCGACAAACTAAGATGGTACAGGAGGTCGCTCACAACAGTTCTAGCGAAAAGCACAGAAGTATGACAGATGTGTGATGCAATGGAGAAGAATAAAAATCCAGCAAGTACTTCTGAACACCAAGAGTACTCAAGGTAAGTCTGGAACAGGTAGCTGAGGTTCATAAAATTCTCTGCATAATCTGAGTTTATTTCTCTCAACAGCATTGACCAGTTTGCCTTTGTGATGGAGACAAAGTGAACTTTCTGTGAGGTACAAACTGCATTCCTTAATAGGCTATAATTTCAATCAATTTCATGCTTCAAACGAGTAAGTCACAGTAATCACTATGTCTCGCCTGTTTTACCATTCAAAATTCTGGATTTTGACCACACTGTATTGTCTGATATGACTCTTGGAGTAAACAACAATTATTTTTCTGACAACATTCACCAAGTTTTGAATGTTATTTGCATGAATCTCAGGCTTCAAAGAGTTAACTGGAAACTGAAAACAAAATCCATTTAATAAATAAAATAAATCTGTTTGCATATAAAAAATGGTAAAACAGAAATGAGGCATATATTTTACATTCCTGAGGCCTTGAGCAGAGCTACCCAATTTGCAGCCCACCAACTGGTTCTGTGTGGTCCACGACAGTATTCCTCTATTCCCCAAATTACAAGTTAACACTTCACTCCTCTTTAAAAGAAACAGTGAATCCTGCCAAATATTTCACCAAAAGTACTTACTAAATATTGTAATTTTCTTAATGGTTTCACACAACGCACAATAAATAACTTAGCAAATTATGAAATTAGTAATGACTCCATGATCATATGCAGTATAAACAGAAGCTATAAAACCTTTGGCAGTCAATTATTAAGCACCATCAAAGTGGCAGCATTTTTGACACCCTCATTACACAATTGGTGTGGTTGTATTGCTTCACCAACCACTTTAAAAGCAGTCATCGATTTTACCGGAAATTTTTTCTTTTATACAGCCTGCATGTAGGTGCCTAAAGCACAATACTGCCCCTCAGTGACTTCAAGTTGGAAAGCCCTGCTCTAGAGTATGTATATATCATAAAATCACGTGAAATGAGCACAAATTATAAAGATATGATAGTTTCAAGATAACATTATCAAAGTCTCATTGTGTTTCACAAGCTGATATCCATTCATTTTATTATGTGTACTCCACAGCAGATTCTGGAACTATGAATTTTAGTATTTTAATGTGAAAAATACAAACATAACTCTTACATACTAGATGATCAAATTCAAAGACTATATATAAGTAGACAACCATTTTACAACCTCTGGGCCATGCCATTTGAAACCATTCAATGTATCTTCACAGTAAATTCTTATGCATGAAACTGGAGATGGCAAATGACATGCAACCTTGAAAAGGTGTCCTGTGCTTGATCAGGCACTACATTATGAAGATGTGTGGGGTTGTGCAGGTATAGCTTCACATATTCTTAACCTTAGCACTAACTGGAGCTGAGTGGTCATCTTGACATTCCAGTTGCTTTTACCCTTGGTACCTAGCACCCAGGACCCACTGAACAGGAGGGTGGATGATCCCCAGAGCCAGTGTCAACATGTTGCAGAAAGAGAAACTGCTGCCCAATCTAGGCATTGAACGTGTTGGTAGACAGAAAAATCTCTTCCCCTATCAAGGATTGAACCTTGGTCATCCAATCTACAGTCTAATCATTATATTGACTGGGCTATCCTGGCTCGCCATGAAAAGGTTATAGCCTTTATTTTCCTTCCCCTTTCTTCTCAATAAACTTACTCAAAGTTAACATCAAACAACTTGGCATGACCCAATACTGAAAAGATCAAAGCATTTAGTTTTGTTGAAGGTAAGGTGACAATGTAAGTTTCTGCAAAGCCTGCAATTGTTTCTTTACATACTGACGTAATTTGATTATTACTTTTGTGCCTTCAGAAGAAGTTCTGTTCTGTTTGGCCCCTCCATAAACACTCTCAAAGCATGGTTACTTGGAGAAGGGGGGGGCCTGTTCACATTGTATCCCATGTCACAATATGTGACGCCTCGAAACTTTTATTATGGGGCTAAGTTCTATCCTATCTATTCTATCTATTAGTTCTATCCTACTGCGAATTTACTAAGCCTCCTTTAGACTGAGAATTGTCAACTCACTCTTTAATAAAATGGATCGAAGAACCAGATGAGGCCCCCAAAGAGAGCACACACAGCCTACACATAGGAGACAGACCAGATCAAGTACCAAAGATAGGACTATACCCGGTCATAAAGATTCTTCACATGAGAAACCCTCAAGGAGCGCTCGATCAAGCAGATCACGTACTCCTTCTGTTTCCAGTAGAACATAAACTATACATTCTCAACCGACAGACAGAGTCTCGGCAAAGATACGGCTCCTCACGGAGATTTCGATCCACACACAGAGCTACCACACAGGAGGTGTTGGACAAAATGTGCAAGGAGTTTTGTGCCTTTTACAACGATGGGTGTTTTCAGGGGTTCAGATGCCAGTGTATGCATGACTATACCAAGACAAATAACAGTCAGTTAGCTAGAATGATGGATGTGATGATTGGACAGTTATTTGAAACAAGGAGGCAGGTGACTCAGAATACACTCATGCTGCATAAGATTTGTCAAAAGGCTGGGATTCCCGTACCACAGATTCCCTCCAACTTCTCACCTCTAACAACACGTGATTCTCACCAAATCAGATGAAGATCCATATCCTTAAGTGCCAGAATAAGGGGTGAATGGGATAGACACCAGAAAGAGGACAAATAAGCCAATTCCATCTAACACAACACCATTCACGCCCGATAATCGAGACCTATTGAGGTGACACAACTGTGTGATGTTTAGTGCAATAGACTTATCAAAAAGAATATTGTACCACCTATTATTATCACATGAAAGCTAAGTAGCTAGTGAATATTTATGGGTGTTATTAGAGGTTGATATCTGTTACACTCCTCTGTGCTACCTCTTAATCATTATATTTTGTACACTCTTAAAGACAGTAGAGAGGAGTTATAGTCATTGGCTAAAATTCCTGATACCACCGAACCAAAGAGATTAATGGAAAAACTCATCATCAACATCATTATCCTACTCGATCTCCTTCAAGCTTGTTAAGAAAGGAAAAAAAACTAAGGGGGTTACCTGATATTAGTATAACACGAGTGAATCACTAAAACCTCACAAAAAGAAAACCCGGAATCCACCCCACCCAACCAGATCCCACATACATTCTCAGAGCCAGCCGACTGTTCCCCGCCTGACATGCTAAAAATCCAGACATCAACAATCCCTACCTGAATTGAAAGACCCCTTAACATTACCCATTACTCTTGGAAAATTAGCCCTCATTTGGCAACAGATGTGAATTCTTTCCAACTCCATTATCTGTTGATTGAAAAATATAAGCTCCCAAAATCAATTGGTGAACAAGTCCTCTTCTGTACAATTTTAATAATCTCCAATAATCTCTAACTAACGTAATACCTAGAAACAAGCTATTAACTATTCTGTTCTATCTTGCAGTTTGTTCATTAGTCTTCCCGAGAGCACTGTGGTTACTGCTAAATAGTATGAGCCAACCATATAGATGGGTTACTCCTTCATCCTGCAGCTGGGACCCTGGCATTGCTGGATGCTGCTCAAGCTTTCCCTGTATCGGCAATCACCATCGATCCACTTGTACCAAACCGTCAGGTTGCACAAATTGGGTGTCCGACTGGACTACTACATTATCAGGAGTACTCTATCACCATCTTATGGTCGTTGAGGAATTTTTACCCAGATGCAGGCGTGATACCAACAACCCGAGATCTAGTAGCTGGTTTGATCAGTTATGTGAATTGTCTACTACAATCAGATATGGTGGAGGGGCAAGGGCAGTTGACGGAAGCCCTCAATTACGCCAATATCGACCCACAATGGCGAAATATTACCAGGGCAAATCTAGAAGATTTCGCAACCCCTGAGGCCCTTAATGTACTAAGGCTCTTTTCTCACCAAGGGCAACAGCTGTTTGCCCATGACCGATCTCAGCAGCTAGGTCTGTTGGGTCTTCTTCTCCTCCTCATCGGGAAGTCCGTCACTACAACAGGGTATGAGGGATGGGTAAATAATCGCCTTCGCACATTCAGAGGGGTCCTATGTATTGCCGAGGACGAATTTATCTGGGTGCTAAGATCATCCCCTCTGCAAAGGGTGTTGGCCTCATTGAACACCTTCCTCAGTGCAAACCAACCCCTACGTACCCGGCTGTTTCATGTGTGTTTGAGGGCAGCCGCAAGCAAACTGAATATAACTACCCAAATATTCACTACTGTCTTGCAGCTGCTTAGGGGGGTCGAAATGAACCACCTCCTGCTGATCGTCTACTTTGTGTTGACAAAGTATCCCGAGATTCTGCGCATAAGAGTAGTCCGTGACAACATGGCAAGATTCAACTTAGCGCTAGCCTATCTCTCCTCTGTGCCAGAAACGGATAGGATGTACGTAAAGATCCTGAAGTCACGGATGGACAGCGCAGTGCTCAATCAGAACAATCTCGGCATGCTTGCAAATGCTGCTTACGCAGCTGCCAAGTATGAAAACCCCTCTATGAAAAACAATAGAGGGGGGCCAAGAGACTTCAGCAGGTGGTCATATTGATAAGGTTGTGACTACTTATCTGACCATCAGAACAACCTTATCAATTAGCGCTATGGTGAGATCACCATTTGCGTACTTGTCGCCAGATGAGAGAATAACGGTGGAAAATGAAGCCACAGCATCTGGGAAGGGTCTTCCACAAGCTCTTGGCATTTCTGCAGATCCTGAGAAGCCAGCCACATTGCCCCCTATGAGACTTGACCTTTCATCACCAGCACTTCAGCAGCAGGGAACCCCAACTCAGCAGTCATAAAAGATTGCCGTCCCTTGGAACTTGAGGAAGAAAACACCTCTCTAAGAGTAATAATGGTAAAAGACAAGTTGTCAATACGCAAGCACCAGTACATTGGTCTCATTATATATATAACTATTCTGTGATATTATAATCTTATGATCACACTGATTACCACCCATCGATTATATATCTATTTTGACCACTACCCTATGTTAAGCAAAATAAAAAATAAAGTCAGCAGTGCCATATACAGGTGTGCTTGTCAGGTGGCAAACTTAGACAAATTACAGTGTTCTGACTTTTCAGTATAATAATGATCTAGAAAATACAGTATCTTGAAAACCCTAGATCGACCTGTAGACTTTGTAAAATATATGTTGTTGGAATCAGATACTTTCAGCAACAGAATTTTACTACTTAGCAAATGTTATGTTTTTTTTTTTTTATTTCCTTTATGGCCGGTGTTTACTGTGAAAGAGTATTTTAGTCTACTGACATAAAGGGAACAACTACTTACAGTCATATCAAGCACTCAGTCCACTACAAAATCTGTTTTGTTCACTTGAGCTTGATACAGCTCTACAAAGAGCCCTGAGACAATGTTAGAACCAGAAGTGTCCTGATTGAGGCCTTACTGACATCTGTCAGACCTAACCATGAAGCTCATTAGGTCTGTTACAATCTTATTGACAGCTGGGTACTGCCTACGTAAATAATAAGAGGATTCCTCACCCTGCCAACAATTCCTATACATGGAACTTCCCAAAGGTCCCATGATATTTAGGTGCTGTTTCAATGTGCAGTGGCCAGTAAGCAGCCCTGTCATCAGTCTATACTGCTGCCTATCTAAGGCTAATATGTCCCTAGACAGTTCTTCAGGAGACCCTTCAATGAAAAGCTCTTAACTGCTTCATAAGAGCCTCCTCCACAGTTCTTGTCCAACATACATTTTACCCAAACCCACCAGCCATCCTAGATCTGTTTGTATACCAGATTGAAGGGGACTGGGCCAAGCAGATAGCAAATGCTCTGATAACAAGATCTCCATTTTAAAGAAAGTACCTAAGGCAATCACTGGTATCATTTTATTTTGATCCACCTGAAAAAGAAGATCTAATTCCATTAGCTTGGCAAGGTTCAAGTATGTCTCATGCCCAATCCCTAATCAACCACAAACTTACACCCCTCAGTCTGTAAGCAAGGGCCCTAGCCTCATTATAGACCTTGCTGAGGGGCCAATGATGTAACTGGAAGAAACAGTAAGTTTTAATAATCCTTCCCCCAAGTCAGCTTAGCATTCAGGATTGCCCTCAGGTACTTAACCAGCCCAGTAAGACATATTACCCTATCTAGCAAAACAAGTTCTGTGAACCATACCATTTTTTTCTCTTGGTGAATGTCACAAGTTCTGTGTTCTCAGGATTAACAAATAGCTCCTCGGCCATGCACCAGCTTTCTGAAACGTTTAGGGCCCTTTGTGTGGAAATTTGCCAGTTTTAACACAGTCATTGTCAGCACAGCCTTGTGTATTTGATCCTGAAGGGAGGGTAAAACCCCACCCTTTGGACATGAAACAATATTTTACAAAATACATTACCAAATTTAAATGTGAGTTTTGTTTACACTATGCACTTCAAAGCTTCTGTTACATTCTTCAATTTAAACGTCAACACCCATAGGTTGCAGCCTGATTTAGGGATTTGGAAACCTATTATTGGCAGTAACTGGATTCTTAATGAGTAGTACCATGGCTTTGGGAATCATTAGGTATATGTTTTATGTAACTGCAATTGAATCTATGAGTAAGGGACACTAACCATTCTGAACCTTTGCTGCCCATTCAACTTATAACATTATTCACAATACAGTGATTGCTCCATGTTATGGATTCCATTGTTCAGATTTAATACTTGTAATTTTCCATACTAATACACTTAGTACATTTTATTACTCACTTGGCACTATTTGATCCTTCAAAACAGTGCTACTATCATTGCAAATTGTGGTGCATTAATGACAAATGTTACGTATTATCTGTATTATCTTGCTTGCTACTGGAAGATGTCATTGTGACCAAGTATTCTATACCCCAGGCTACTAGACATATGAAGATCATCAGTGTCTGGGAGTGGATACAAAGTGGGAAGCTTCCAGACACATCTCGAATTACACCTGCAGATAAACCAAAGGACAGTGAATGTTAAGCAGAATAAAACAGACAACTGTGCTAACTCATGTGGTTCTATTACTTCAGCTACAGTGAAACTTATTCATAAGTGATTGATTCTAAATACAATTCCAACATAACCCACTAGGTACATTATTTACTGCCATATGCTCCTTTGCTTATTAAAAACATTATGTTTCTTTCTGTATTGAAAATTATTTTTGTCTGTACCAATCCACTTGTGTATCAATCTGTGTGATGATGTGGGAAAATATTTTTAAAAAAATATTCAATAAACAAATTTGTCATTCAGATTGGACACTATTTCATATGAAGGTCTATATACAATTTTACTTTTGTTGTATTTTAGCGTCCTGTTGCACTGATTCGTATCCATAATGTGTATATATTAACCATCTCTTAGTGCATACAATTTCACTTGTCACTTCACACTACATGTTTCGGCATCATTCTGCCATCCTCAGGTGATGTTAAATCACGTTAAACCATTGCACTGCCTGCCATCATGTGTCCATTATTATTGAACAATGACAAACATACATTTTATATCATTTATAAATGGACACTTAATGGCAGGCTCGGAAGCCGGGATCGTGGGTTCGAATCCCACTCAGGGCATGGATGTTTGTGTGCGTTTTTCTGTGTTTGTCTACAGGTAGAGGCCTTGCGACGAGCTGATCATTCGCCCAAGGAGTCCTACCGTATGTGTAAGATCTAGAAAAACCAAAGTGAACGGAGTTCATGGAGGTAGGCCTAGGCCCACCGGGGCTGCAGTGCCAAGGAAGGGAAAAAAAAAGACAGTTAATATATACACATTATGGATAAAATTTTACTTATTTATAGAAAGCTGATGAGAGAATATTTACATAAGTGAAAATGCATTTCATGATGAGGACTTTGGTATGTACCCTTCTAAACCATAAAAGAAATTAAGAAATTCTGTGAAACATGTGAGTCCCACAAATAACAATATTCCTAGAACAATACAGGAGGTTGTGTCTTAATTGTGAGGTCTTGCCATTTGACTGCAGGTGCAGCAGAACAACAGGAAATGTGTCAGGGTAGCTTATGGGGCTGAGATTGAAACCAAGTCTATAGCAAAATCAAAATTGCAACCCATTTGCTCATCACCTTTGCAGAATATACAATAATTACTGCCCTGTCATTGGTCTCTTCTTTTATTCTCTTTTTATGCAACAAAAATAGCAGGGATCCTATATCCATCTGTCCATCTTAATGCTAGAAGTCCAAAAATACTAAATGGAGTTTCATGAAGTTTAGTATTGGCAGAGGAGCCTGCCTTTAAGGGTGTATTTTTTAGTCCTTACTTTAGATGAAACTCAAAATGAACCTAGCAATTTTCTGAGCTCAGTTTACAAAAATAATTGTATATAAATTAGAATACAGAGCTCATTAAAATCAACTTCTATATGAAAAATCTTCTTTTCCTATGTAGTGAATATATAATGAACTACTATATGGAAAAATAATTTTGGACCTCACACAGTTGATAACTGTATTATGATAAGTGTTGCAAGACATGTGTACTTCTCTGAACTCTCACTCTCACCTCCAACAGGGCCCAATGCTGCGATGAACAGCCCCTTGGCCACCATATGGAGTCCAAATGCTGCAGGCAACTTCTCCAGGCTACAGTGTTCAGATATAGTGAGTGCAAAATTGATGAGTGTGGCTCCTCTGAAGAATCCACTTATCACTATAGTTACCATCAACGCTGTATATTCTGTCTGTTCTGCAAGAACTGTAACATTACAGGGCGGTAGAATGAAACATTAGTTCAGGTGAGAAAAAGTTTGGTTTTCAGTCACTTTCTGTAATATTCAGAGCCATTAAGAGACAGACTGGAAGTTTGTCAATAACTTTGTTGTGGAAGCTAGGAATGTTGAGAGAGGACCTCACAATTTTAGCAGAAGTCATACACAAATATCACATTGGGCATTTTCTATTGTCTGAAGAATATTTGATACTGTGGCATGTAGACCCATTGCTAGGCAATGATCATGAAACAAACAACTATACAATAGCTGTTCCTATGTAGCAGCTCCATCAACAGTCATGAACACAACAATTCCACAGCAACAGAAGGATTACAAGATGTTAGCCTTCTATCTAAAGTGTACTGTGGGTCCTTTCTCTGAGGATAGAATAACTGGGCCATCAAGTTAACCACTCACTGCCATCCAATGCCATGGCGGAGAGAGAATGGAGCTACGAGTATTACTCATTTTGGCCATACATCTTCATGGAGTGATGGATGCCTAATTAAGCACAGGTAAAATTTAGCAGTTTCAGATTGAGAAGAATGGAGTGTATGGTGATAACGTTGAAATAAAAATCGATCAGCGAAATTTATGAAGTGTTTGTCAGTGCCCTCTTTATATCTGAGTGTTTTAGTTAATAAAGTTGTTATCAAAAGAAACTGTAGAGAAAGAGGGGTTATGCAATTTTGAAAAAAAAAAATTTCATTAGCAACCTTTGCTGAAAACAATTTCTGTATACAGAAGCACCACTTGGTACATCTTTTTTTTAAGAAAGTTTAATATTTTGGTACAAATGTAACTGTCTTTCTGGAAATTCTCAAATTACTGAGGTTCAGTATTTTTTAAAAGTTTATTCACATTGGCAATTTGTGCCAAAGGAATTTTCTCCAGATAAATCTGCTCAGTGCACATTGCTATTCTATCAAAACTGCTATCTTAGTATAAACCCATGTGTGTTCCAAGTTATTAAGGCCAGGTACTCTTAACAAAGTTTTTCAACAATTTCACATCAAAATTCTGACATGATTTATGCCTGTGGATAGTAAGAAGGTACTTCAGTCAAAAACATTATTAATATCATTGAATTCCCCATAATTATGTGACAAAGCTGTGGAACTCAAATGTTTCCCAGCCTTATGTGCCGGCCGCGCTTTACTCCCCAGGAAAATTATTTAATTAATTCCTGGTACTCATTTCTGTTAGAGGCTGAGTAAACCCCAGGGCCTAGGATTAGGTCAATATAAGCAATAAATTTACAACAGAGATTATTATATTATATTTCAGCATCCCGTTGCATCACACAGAGGCATTATCCTTATTATTAAAGAACCCATGAATAATGCAAAAATAGAGATAACTTAAACTTTTGTAAACAAATAAATATGTTACAAAGAAAATTTAAAAATATTCCTAGAGCAGTAGCCTATTTCTTAGATCTGATTATTATCTATTTGTTTAAGATTAAGTAATATGGAGACTCGAAAACACATCTTTCTCACAAACAAAATTAGATGTATTTCTATACTCTCATTTGATCATCTGAAATTCTGTAAGCAACACAGTTGTCACAATCTTACCCCTTGCCTAATTACAGTAACAACTAAATTACAAGTGGCAAAATTCAATGGAACAAAAGTAAAAACATTTATATCATACAAAGGAGGGATCACTTATGAGAATAAGCCTCCAAATACTTCTGCTAGTGTTACTAGTCAAAAATAAACTCGTTTAACCATATTTTCAAATAGTGAGGGAAAGTTTGAAAATATGTGTTAGTTTAAGTTACCTGATCTGGAGAGGCCTAGGAAGATGGAAGCTATTGCAAAGAGTGTCCTCCTCCTTATCTTCACTCTATCACAGATAGGTGGCAGTACAGCACGTGCCAAGATATCTGACACAGCAGTCATGGACAGGAAGAAAGCTGTGTCTTGCTTTGTATATCCCAAGTCATTTAAGAAGAAAGGAACTATCATCCTAAAATTCAATTCAGCGACATAGAATATTGAGAGTCCAAACAGAATATTGAGGTAGATGAGATCTTTCAGTAAGTCCAAGTCCATGAAATGTACAACTCGTTTCCAGTATGGGATGTGGTTGGGAGATGCTGACACACCTGAATCAATTTTATCACTCTGTTTCTCAGACGTCCTTAAGTTCTTACATATATCATCACTTACAGCTGACCTATGTTTTCTTCGTAATCTTTTCATAATCAGACCTCCAAGATGGCCATCTTCACCATGACTTCTCACATGCTGCAAACAACATGTACAGTGTTACTGCTAATAAAATCATGCATAAAAACTGGTATAACAACAACAATATATCTAGATGTTAGTGTGAAATAGGATTTAAGTAGTTTTCAAAGTGTGAGTAGAAACTGTAAAATCAGATTTTGGGCATAAAAATCATATATCACATATCTGTTATAACATGTTCAATAAATGTTCAAGGCATGATTTGGAAGTCAAATGATGCTTTTAAATGATAGAATAATGAGGTCATACCTAAAATTGCTATCCTACTGTTAAATATTAGTTATGTCCTTAAAGCATTTATTAATTCTTGAAACAGAAAACTCAGTACAATTAGTCGAAGAAACTCTTTAAGTTAATGTGCATGTCTTGATAGGTCTCAGTATAAACATCACTGTAGCCATGTGGAAATCCAAACAGTCTGGGTATGGCAAAGTACGTTTGTTTGCAGCGATGGTCATATATGTTTGGTGACTCTCCCTTTTAGATATCCTAATTCATGCACCTTTTTGACACATACAACATTTTTCACATATTTTCACATGAATAATTCCAGCAGTGTTAGATCTGGGTTGTCCTGAGGCCAGGGTTTCTATTTACATATTACACCTTACAGAGCACAGCAAACCTGAACAGTGAACTGAAACAGGGTCCCATCTTCTTGTTATGCCACTGCAGCTGCATTTTTACTTGCAGTGTCATCATGAGGGCAACAATAAACTAGCATGCAGGGTTGTCAAGTATTTTACAACAATATCCATGTCTGAATGAAATATTAATCTGAAAACTAGAGCATCTTGCCATGAGCAGGTAGGTGAATAGAGAAGCAAAGGGTAGGATTATGGGTTGATGTCCCATGCATTTTCACTATTAATCTCACAGACTACAGGTTATGAAAGTGTGAGAGCTGTGATAGAGAAGTTACAAAATGTCTTTTGTTCACATTTTTATGTCTCTTAAATATAAGACGATTATGTGAAGGGAAGGGAAGAGCAGTATAATATTCATTCATTCATCAGTAATCTGTCAGATGACAGGTCCACAGCCTCTTCCAAAACAGTTTCTCCACTTAATGCGATCTTCTGTTTTTGGAAAGAGACTATCCAGGAAAAGTGATAATGTGGTAGTTTTTCCATTTGCTTTCCACATCGCAGTACAACAGCCGTTCAAACCACTCTGGTCACGCCTGTTGCTATACGAACTTGAACCATCTCGAGCATCATTTTCTCTGAGTTTCAAGTCGCCGCTGATGACGCTGCTTCCGGCATCAGTTTTCGGTGTCTCTCTTCGTCTGATGCCTACCCTTTGACCTGTCCAGCAAGGGAGGCCCTGCCAGTAGCTACGCTACCGCTGGTATAGCTCTCAGGGTCCTTGGCATACTCAAACACCCTCACCACGATAAGGTGGAGACACCAACGAGGGGATTTTTTTTTGGGCCGATCCCGGAGGTACTGCAATACCGGGCCAACCCGTGACAGAGGTGGAGCAAGCCCCTAGCACTCCGTCATTTTCCAAAAATCAGTTTAATATTCTGGTCCTGCGATGCAGGACGTATCAGATATTAAGCTGATAAGAACAGATTAAAACTTTATTAGAGAATATTATGATACAAATATTAATACATTGCAATGTTTATAGAGGTCATCTTCTTGCGATGCCTCTATGTATTAAGCACAAGTTGTATACAGTGAAATAGTTTTGGAGGGGGACCACAAGCTGGCCCCCCTCAGTCAGTAAGTTTTTTTTTATATATGCAAGGGGATAAAGCCAAAAATGTTATAGAACATACACAAAAAAACACACAAACAGTAAGAGTAACAGAGGGGAAAAAAATTGAAGAGAGGGAAAAAAAAGAATAAAATAAAAAGAAAAAAACCAATAGCGAGTTAAAAACACTGAGCCACCAGTCTCTGTCACTCGTTTTGCCGCTGTCCCGTCAGATGTTCCATGTATATATCCCGGCTCCAGCGAATCACATCAGTGCACATGAGGCGTCTCATCAGTCGGCAGTAATGTTGCCCAAGTTTGAGGAGGCTGATTATGCGTTCATTTGCCGGGTCCCATCCCCCCAGGGCTCCAACGATGAAGGCGTCGACACATACGTCGTACCCTTGGGTCCGGTAGTGATCCGCGATGTGGCCGTACTTTGACCTCTTCTCATTCCTTGCAGCCTCGAAGGCAGCGTACCGGTTCTCGAATGGTGTGGCTACATCGATGATTGCTGCTGACTTTTCCATTCCATTTACGATGAGAAGATCAGGTCGAAGTCCATCGTCCATGCCTGGGACACACTGGTTTACTCAGACTGTTGTCCCCTCATGCGGCACGAGGGCCTTCACAAGGCGGTCAAGCACGGCGTTATGCCGACGTGTAACGGCAGCGAGGTGTGTTTTGCAGTGGTTGAGAACGTGTGGTAGCGTCTCGTTCTCATGTCCACATCTGCGACACCGTTTGTCGCCATGTCCAAAGCGGCAGGCACCATTAAGGGGCACGCAGTCCAGTCGCGCGCGGTGTATGAATCTCCATTCCGCAAAACGCGTGAAGTCCCCGTTACGCATGAAGTGGTTGGGCGGGGTCGCCGCGCTCGTCACTTCATACACCTTGCCCTGGTCCGGCTTCTTTAGCAGTCGCCGCCTAAAATACTCTCTGATGGAGCATCGTAGCGAGTACTCAACCTCACTTGCTCGCAGTCTGAATCCGTTGAGCTGTAGCTGTGGCTCCTCTGTTGCTGTCAGGGACCACTCTACATTTATCTTGCTTCGGATTCTTCTCGTTGCTAATCGAAGGCGGGTCCAAATGTTAGTAACGTCGATGCTCTCGTTGGTGAAGGCCCCGTCCATCCGGCCATTGAGATAATCCACTAGATCGCTTGGGTGGGCAGTAGTCCGAATTCTCTTCTCCACAACGGCCTGAAGGATTGTCAGGGACAATTTTCCCACGGTGTTTGACTGGAGTAAACGTACTCCGTGTACCAACTGGTGAACATCCGCAAGCAGAGCCATCGGCAAAAGGTTGACACCTCCCATCCGATAGCCCAGGTACAGGGGTTCGACCCCAGCGCGCTGAGGGAGGTTCAACCATCTTTTCCCCGCAGCCTTGAGCCTCTTGTCAAAGTCGCTCAGCGACTTCTTCCGGACAACTCCGTTCTTGAGGTGGAATGAGAGGCATGGGAGTATAAACGTATTGACAGCGTCAAACTTTTGCCATGGGGCAAGGAGCGACTCGTCCACCTTGCTCAAGTTTTCTGTCATCTTTGTGAGCACCAGTTCTGCTGATCGCGCTACGTGGTAGCCAGTCGGGACTCCGAGGTGCTCATAGAAGTCGCCCTCAGCTAGGGTTGCGAGTGTATCGCCCTGGATGTGGAATTTGGTTGGGACGACTCTCTTTTTCTTGCCCTCAATGTGGAGTGTTGCACATTTGCTGGCATTGAACCGGGGTCCTCCCCACGTAGCCACTTTTTCAGTTACATCGAGAAGCCTTTGCAGATCGTCTGGTGTCTGCGCAACCAGGGCTAAGTCGTCCGCGTAAGCTAGCGAGTGTGTGGTTTCTTGATGAAGTTGATATCCTTTGCCGGTAACAGAAACTGCACGCAGTAATGGCTCGATGGTGAGATTGAAGATGATAGGGCTTAGTGGGCATCCCGCTTGACTCCGGCCTTGATGGTAATTTCTGCTGTTGGTCCTGTGTGGCTCCGGATCGTCATCATGTTGCTGTCGTACAGGAGACGTATAGTTTCGATGGCGTCATTGTCGAGGCCGGCCCATCGGAGTGCGGTGAAAATGGTGTTGTGTGGTACCGATCCAAACGCGTTACTTAGGTCCAACCAGGCGATGCAGCATTCTTTCCTGCTCCTCCGTGCGTCCACGACGACTGACTGGAGGACAAAGTTGTGTTCAGCGCATCCGTCTACTGGCCTAAACCCTTTCTGGCATGGGCTGATGCGTTGGTTCCGGGCTGCCCAGCTGCCCAGTCTTTCGGCTAGCACCGACGCGTAGATTTTCGCTAGCGTGTTGCTCAACGCAATAGGTCGCCAGTTGGACACGTTGTATCTGTCTCCTTTTTTGTGGATCAGTACAGTTGATGACGTCGTCCACGTTTGAGGGATTGCTCGCAGATGCTTCACACAGTTGAAGATTGCCGAGAGAACATGGCCACCTTCGTCGAACTTCTTCCAAACTCCATATCGGATTCCGTCAGGGCCTGGGGCTGTGTTGGGGCAGCGGCGCAGNTTGCTGGTGTAGGGGGATCGTTGTCCGGTTGGTGGAGTTGGGGCCTGTACGTAATCGAGTGTTCACAGGACTCGGTAGGAGGCGGGGCCACGAAATCAGTGGTGGTTGTCTGGACCGGGGAGATGGCCGGGATGAGCATGGGGACTGGTTGTGGCATTCGGCTTCGTCGCACCGGAGGGGCCCCTACCTGCGCATCTGGCATGGTCGGTGGGGGAGATATGTGCAGTACGGCGACATTCGCGCAGCCGGCCGATTTCTGATGGTGCTTGCATTTTTTAAGGTTATCGAACATGACGTCACACCCGTGACATTTGAAGGCCAGCTGAAGCAGGTGGTATCGGCGGACGTATTTTGATAGTTCTCCTTGCCGTTTGTATATCTTTGGGATCGGAGGGCAGATTCGGTAGTAGAACGATTCGGCTAGTGGCACGTCGATTTCGTAGAAGGAGGTACCTATCTCATCCTGTTCCTGAGTCGGCAACACGTCAGACCGGTCTCCATCCTCGCCCTGATGGCTCAACGTTTGCTCCTCCGTTCCTTCACTGGAGTTTGTTTCCTGCCCCATCGCTCTCGGTAGTCAGCATCTAACTTGTTCCATAAGTAGTATCCATGGCCCCTTGNCAGCAATTGTGGAGGGTTTTTACAAGGGGCCCATGGCCCCTTGTAAAAACCCTCCACAATTGCTGACTCCCGATTAGCACTCTGCGCACACTGTCAATGATCGATTTCGCGGGCCACTAAGGCGACACTGGTCAGCGATAGTTCTCACCGAGCTCACTGCGTATACCGTACCCGTGGTATGAAGGTAGCTTCTCAGGTCCGCAATTATTTCACCGATATCTATGGCGGCACTTGGTCAATGTTTAGCGATCCGGATGTGTAGTTCTACGAATGAACACTGCACCGGATTCCACGGGTAACGTAAACCGTCCCGGCTATAACCGATTACTTAACGCGAACACGGTAATCCGCGATCCGAGAAGTAGCGTTTCTGGTCAACGATTGTTTCACCGATAGCTATGGCGGCAAGTAGCCCATGTACAGCGACACGATTAGCTAGTTCCACAGATGGACATTGCACCTACCCCCACTTATAACTATTTTCACTGTAGCCAGCGTATCGCTACTGAGTGTACCGTGTATAACTAATTTCACAGATCAGTATGGTAGCACTGGTCACTGTCCTTACATATGTATATTGCAACACTTGTCACTGTAGCCAACTTAACGCATACCTCGTATTCCAAAGTCTAGTAGGTTATTCCTCAGGATAGTACTACCTACTGCCAGCGATGAATTTTCCAAGTCACCACGGTGGTACTAGTCGATTTGTATTTCCACGGATGGCTAGTTCAATGTGCACACTGCCAATTATCACAAATTACTTACCACACGCAGAGAATTCCGTGATTCGAGAAATAGCGTCTCTGATCACTGACTATGTCACAGATAAATATGGCGGCACTGTCAATGGTTAGCGTCCCCGATAGCTAGTTACAATGTTCAACACTGCCACAAAGTCTACGATTAGCACCACACACGTTAAATTCACTGTTTTTTTTTTCGCGGCACTCTATACACTACCACAAATCACGGAAGCACTTCACTATACAAATACATTCACGTTTGTTTGTTTGTTTTTCTTTTTTTCACTGTTATATCACAAAAAGCTTACCAGCATTAAGCTGATAAGAACAGATACTACACTTTGATCTTAGCCAAAGGCCGAGAAGCCAGTTATTTAAAACTGAATTTCCTTGTATGATATTGTAACGTGTATCGTTACTGAAGAAGCCGTAGAGATCGTTATTTGGTTTATTTAACAACCCGCAACTCTAGGCTACAATTAATTATAACACAGTTGCGGGTTTCACACTTTACAAACCCTACAACCAAATCTCTTCACACTATCTTCAAGAGTCTTCACGTATTAATAACGCGGGAGCTATACAAATCTCTCTGAGTTACACACTCCAAATACACTCGGTTATCATGAACTATCACTGATTCTCGCACACGCGTCTGTAACTCGTAACTTGCGAACTGAGAACTGTCGTTCTTCTCAGCAGGGCAACGAGAAAACAACCACGTGGTAGGCATCACTGTTGCTACCGTCGTCTATCGCAACCACTGTTTATCCGCGTTGCATAGCAACCAGTGTGCTGGGACTCGGCTCACTTCAGCTCCGCTCGGCACGTCACCGCGCGTTGCATGTTACGTCACCATGGGGAGGGTGACGGTGTGATGACTCGCCTATTACCGTAGTAACGAGAGCGCTACGTTACCGCCACGTGCCGCTGGGGAGGTAGGGGTCCTCAGTTGCGCAACATGTCACAATATTATAAGATTTTATGGCATTGTGAACTTCGATCACGGTCTTCTAGTTTACATTACTGCATAATCAGGCTAAAATTTTACCTTGAAGATGGGGCTCCAAGGCAATGGTAACCACCTGCCAGATTACATGGTGAGAAAGAAATTAACTTACAGGAAACTGAGTTCTTATTGGTGAATTCACTCAGAGCAATAAAGTTGTGGAATGTAATACCTCTTTCGTCTGCTGGTACTTACATCAGTGCATACATGTGTTAACCAGTGTGTATACATGGGGTCATGAAGTTATGAATATTGTTTGTAACAAAGCCTTAATTATAAACATACATGGAGGAGACAAATTGCTTTATGCATCAAAGAATGACTCTGGAGAAACATGGTTCCTATTAATAAAACTTCAAACTGAAACAGTCACACCACCTCATCACACAAACAAATTTGTGTGTGGTTACCTACTGATTTTCAACGAGTCACGCTTATTACCGTATGAGTATGACAGCTTCCAGTGAAGTCCATCCTGGAGATCTTGGACATAACTGACTGACTCCACTTGTGAACTGACACACCTCTATTGGATACAGTGTGGGGGACGTGTTCAGTACATTTGCTGCCAATTGGATCCTGTTTGTCTATATCATCCAAGGCAGAGATGGCTGTGACTGAAGTCTGGGGATTTTCCAGCAGCAGGGACTGTACTTCAGGTTCATTTTCCTGAAACAGAAAAAACATAAAAGAGTTCAACAACGTTTCGGTCTTATTTATATAACCTATTACTGCTTCCTACACAGCAGAATGAAATAATACTACGTACGTCCCTTGCCATGCTTAGTCCCTAAGTGACAGTCCTCATTCCTCAGGACCCAAATAGTTTTCATTTTCATTGAATTTGTAAGTAATCTGTCCACGCCATATTGTAGCTCTCAGAACTATTCTGTCTCTCAGTTCTCTTTCTGACTGTGCCATATGTTGTTCAACAGCTCCGATGGGTACTATACATTAACAGACTTTGATCACATGGACCCAGTTCTGTGTTAAATACAGTTTCTTTTGTCCTTGCATCCCCATAGTCACAATAAGGTTGTGGGGAACCAAAGAGACAAGGAAAGACAAATAATCGTTATATGGGACGAAGTATCACTGAGCGATACTGGTAGTATCGGTGATTCAGATGTTAATGCTATGACTGATATGTATGAAATCAGTAGGTAATTAAGTTTCATTGTATTGTTGACTCATGTATGATATGTATGTTATTTTAATAGGTAGTAATTGACTTGTTTTATATCTGGAGGTTCTATCTCCAAATATGGATTCTCGGAACAAATAAACTGATTGATTGATTGACTGGTGAATTAACTGACCATTATACATAACCTAAGAATCTGGAATCAATAATCTTTCCAGAAATTTTCTGGCTATCATATAAATATCTGGGAACTGAACCACCACCATCACCACCGCCCCCCGGCCCAACCGCCACCGCCGCCGCCGCCGCCACCGCCACCACCACCTAGTGCATTAGTACAACTTCCAAAATTAAAGAGGAATGTTTCTCACAAATCTGGCCCAGTGTCCCCTGATGCTCAAGCATAATTGCACATTTAAGGTATGGTACATTCTCTTAAAGGCTCATACACATTCTGGGGACCAAGCAGACACACACGCGAAGACATCATATATGGCTTGTGGGAACAATGGATAAGGGGCAAAATTGCAGACAAAACATAACAACAGGCTTGCATATAGAAGGGGTGAGGAGGTGCATTGTAAACAACCAAAGAAGGGTGTATTGCTTAGACAAGTGAATGACGCCCCTTATGAGGTGAAATTAGGGGCTTTATATATTTAACAATTTTAAAGATTTTTAATTTATTTTAAATGGAGTGAACTGTAACATGTAAGATATTAACAAACAATAGTCGAGTGCTATTGTAAAATTTTAATTACAAAATGTTCAGTTAAATGCGTGTGGAATACACAATACTCAGTGCAGTGTAGCTGGTTTGACATAGTGGGACACCTGAGTATGGCCGTTTGGGACCGAAACATGCTGTGTTAATAGAGGAAGCAAATGTGACTGAAGAAATAATTAGTTGCATTATTGACGGAAAATTGTATGTAAACAAGGTGTTCAAATTCTATTAGAAATAATAAGCACTGAATAATGTGAAATCATAACATATTATGTTCTCATTTCAGTTATGTGGATGAAAGATACAAATAATACCAAGAAATGTTTAAATCAAATAGCCACCTTGTCTTAGAGGTAAAATAAAGATGTAGGCCAATGGATTAACATAGTTATACCACAAGCAAGACTTCTTCTATGGGTTACAAGTAATTTACTTATTATTGATGGTAAATAACGCAAGTGTTTATCAATTTAAAACTTTGCAACAAAAGTGTGATGAAACTTCACATATTTGGAAATAGTAGCAACTGAATGTAAAATCTTTCCCATTCAAAACATTCAATTCTGACTGGTCTGATCTCAGAGTTGTGAGCCCCAAGCATATAAATATGTTTACCTGTTTTTTACCCATATTTTCAAGTTGCTCATTTTCATTCTTCTTGAGTTCTTCTGGTCGGACATGCCATTCAACAGGCTGTAGCAACATCGAACCTACAAGGGCATGGAGGGCAATACCTCCCAGAATGAGGAGAGATCCATGGAAGTTGTATTCCTCTAGCAACAAATGTACTGCTTGAGGCATTGCCATCATGCCCAATGCAGTACCTACCATGGACAAACCAATGGCCTGACCCCGTTTCTTGCTGAAGTAATGATTCAATGCTACAAATGTAGATGACAACGTGAAACCAATTCCTAAACCTGAAACAAAGTAAATTACATCTTTCCTTACATCTAGCTTATCACATTACTCTGTCACATTTTATTTCTTTTGGCCCCAACTGACTTCTTTGTAATACTGCATTAAGTCTTTTGCTATGTTTCACATCCTCTTCCACAGTATCTTCTTTTAAGACTGTGACTTTATGAATGATCTAAAACCAATATTGACAGTTTCAGTTATCTGTAGAAGTACAGTGTGATTATTTGTGTTCTATATATTGCGACGTGTCGCGCTAGCAGGACCCCCCCCCCCAGGAGCGGTGACGCGCCGAGCGGAGCCGAACTGAGCCAAGCGGAGCCGAAGTGAGCCAAGCAGAGCCGAAGCGAGCCGAGTCCCAGCACACTGGTCGCTATGCAACGTGGGTAAACAGTGGTTGCGAGAGACAACTCCCGACAGCGTTGCTAGCAACACGGCACCAGACAACAGTGGTGCCTATTATGTGGCTGTATTCTGTGTTGTCCGGAACGGTGCTAAATAAGGAGCAGCGAAGACTATTCAAGTTACAGTTCTCAGTTCTCGGGCTACGAATTCACAGCTAGTTCTCAAGTTACGAGTCAGCCAGGCAGTCAACCAGCGCTTGCAGTGTAGTATTTGTGATACTGCCGATGGCAGTAATTGTCAGATTGTAATTTGTGTGATTGTAAGAGCGAATGTGAAATAAAATTCGCTATATCCAGTACGGTGTGAAGTTATTTGTCGCGTTATACACCCAACACGTGACAATATGATATCAAATTCCTTATATTACTATATCTCATAATATATTTGCATTCAAAATAATAAGCATTTTTTTTAAACAGAACACTTAAAATATTTTCAATTAATTTGATACTTCCATGTGTTAAGTAGGCTTCCAAAAAAAATATTATTTCCTGCTTGAAATTGGATCCTCAGATTTGTTGACCATTTGTTCTATTTATCATAATAAGATACTAATATTTGTAACATACTATAAAGTCTTGAATTAATTTTAATTTCTTTCTCATTTCATTGCAAGTGACCAATTACAAGAATTTGGAAAATTAAACAGTGCATGGTGCAGAGTCTGGCTCTGTTATTGTTCATGCCCTCTGTATGCACCAATCTCCTGCAATTTAAAACTGTTACTCCATAGATACAATTTTATAATAAAAGTGAAAAAAGTTAACTACATTCAGATTTCAATAACAAATTTTTTGGTTCTCTCTTAAATTTCTTTTGCAGGGATAATATTCACACCATGCCAATGTTTCAAATAAATGATAAAGAAAGAGATATAATATATATAAATATATAAACATTAAATTCAATTATGGCTAGTTCTAATTTGTACTGCATTAAAAAGACATTGAGCCGGGAATTACTATTCTACCTTCATTTCACTTTGATATTACTCATAATTCAGAAGTTAAAAGGATGATGTCATGATGAACCTTGTACAGAAAGTTAAGGTAAATCAAAGTAGGTATTTCTCTGTCTATGCATCATGCCATGAAGGCACATTGGAGCTTGAAACTAAACTTACATGCATCCTTCATTTTGTGGTTAGACTGTAGACTTTATGGGCCAGATTCATGGACTAGCTCCTTGGTTTTTCACTATGTTCCCAAGTAATGATCATCATTAATACAGTAGATTAATTTTACAAATTGCAACAGTAAGATAAATGTTAGTTTTCATAACCATGTGTGTCATTCTCAAGCACAACTATCCTCAAATACAGTGAATATTTATGAAATAGTCATAATTTGTATATGAAGTAAATAAATGTAGCTTTATACTTCAAGTTTCTGGGTACTAACCTCCCATAATACTGTATGTTGAAAGAATGTGGGTCATGCTTTCTGCAGGGAAGGTGGTTATTAGCCCCACTGCACTCAGTACAGAGCCAATAAGAGCCACCTTGCGGTATGAATACTTCCGGATGAGAGGGCCTACAAACAGACCTGAGGGCACAGACAATGATAAAATATACTGAGCAAGTAAAATATTGGTAAGTGCTGAAAAGTTGTATAGAACTAAAATAAAACTCCACACTTACTTAAGGTTGGCACTAAATAGAGATCAACATGTACTTTATTTCCAAGGAAAGATACCATATCCATTTGATGGCAGGTTGAGTGGGCCCCTGATATATTCTGGATTTGGTGGAGAAGAGAATAATCCTACCCCTGCTGAGACTCAAACCAAGATTATCCAATCTTTTGCTAATACAGTAAAACTTGGTTATAGCAACATCGGTTTCTGCGACACCTTGTCTATTGCGTCAAATATTCAATGGTATGAACTAATTCCTCATAAAGCAATTGTTTTTATACCTTGCTTAGTACGGGGTGAGTGCAGGTATAGCTCCATTTTTTTTTTTTTGACCTCGGCACTTGATGGAGGTTGAGTGGTCAGCTTCAAGTCCATGTCGTTTTACACCCGAGGAAAGAGCCCCCGATACCCACTGGATAGAAGCGTTGGAGACTGGGTGATTAATGACTATTTAGCAGCTGGTAAAATGAGAACTGGCAAGATGAAATCGAAGAAGTAGAAGAAAATGTACCCCCGTGTCATTTTGTCCATCATAAATTCCACGTTATCTGGTCAGGGATCGAATCCGGGCAGCAGGCTTGAGCAGGTCCTGATAGTATAGATCAAGTTAACAATCAACTGGTCTAAAGTGATCTAAGTTTTATAGACAACGCAAATTCGAAACAATATTAAGCATTATGGGTCAACCCGAATTCATGAGAGAAGCATGTGACTCCACCACCAAAGTCAAGATATGAGGCGGGGGGGCTCAGATTTGGTTCATACCAGAGAAGTTGATTGTTGCATCTAAGGCGCTTATAATGATTGAAGCTCCTGTAGTTGCCACTCCCATGTCCCGGAGTTTGTCTCCAAACAACAGCCCAAATGAAGGCTCAATGGAACGTGTTGAGAGCTGGAACATACAGTTATTGTTACCAGGCATACCAAATGAAATTGAAGGTTCAGTGCAAAAACGGGGTGGCTCCAGTTCTGTCCAAAATTTACCTTATAATCACGGATGCTGGCAGGTGGAGAGGGGAACTAGACATTTATCCATCCTGGATTTATGGAAAGTGATTAAAATTGAAGAAAAATACATAAAGGTAAAAATTAAAATTGTCCCTGCGCTTAACTAATTAAGCACTACACCATGAAGACGCATGGGGGAGTGGTATATAAATCCACGTATTATTTAAGTCGGAACTAGTTGGAGGTAAGTGGTCAGCTTCACGTCCCGGCCGCTTTATCCGGGTAAAAAGCCCCCGATACCCATTGGAGATGAGGCTGAGTAGACCCCAGAACTGGTCTGCACGACTCGGAGAGAAAAATTTTGCCTCCACTGAGATATAAACTCCGACCCCTCGGAAGTTCAGCCCGTAGCCAATCGCTATAGCGCCGTCGCTACCTCAGCTCGCAGAAAAAAAAATGCCAAATATTAGTATAAAGAATGAAAAGCGTTTAGAAATTATTCTTCTATCCCGAATACCTTGGAACGATCAGTAGAAATGGAATTAAACGGCTCACACGTAAGTTTGTAAGCACACGTATTTTCTGGCTACAATTCTCGAGGCGCCCATGTTTACATTATTTCATACATTTAAAATATCGCATAATGGAGAATCTAGCCGCCACGTCTAGTGCAGTTTTAAATCATCAGTGATTTTCGGGGCATATAGCTCAGTGTTTCGCCACGAAACGCCACTATACATGTCGAAGCAAAACCTGCTGTAGTAAAGGCGGTTTCCAATAGTGGCCCAGATATTTTGTCATTGAGAGATTATAATTCATAATAATGGAAGTGCCGACAGTGAACCACGTGTGGAAAGTGGAATTAAGTATTCAAAGAAGATAAAAGGTGGAAATATAAAGTGACAAAATATGGAAAACAGAACAGGAACCACACGCATGCGCGCAAGCACTCTCGCTTGAGCGGTAAAACTGGTATCCATAAATGAGACAACATAAAATTTGCAGAGAATTTGCAACGACTGAGATAATTTTAAACGTTTTAAATGTCTTATTCTCCTTTTTTTCGCTTAGAGAGGGGTGGAATCCAGCTGGGTCCACTGATTGGCCTATTGTACTTGCCCCGGGTGATTATGATGATGGAGAATTTGGTGGAATGAAGATTGGCAGGGTAAAGCGAAGTACTCGGAGAAAACCCGCCCCAGAGCCACTTTGTCTACCACAAATCCCACTTGAGCAGACCCGGGATCGACCCGGGCCGCCGCGGTGGGAAGCCAGCGACTAACCGCTTGAGCTATGGCGCGGCCTTTTAAATCACGTTATAAGTTACCTCTGATTATTTCGTGTCTTATTTGTCATCCCATTAACACAACTGTTTGTTTCTTGTTTATTTGGCCATATTTTCTTACTGTATCGGCTACAGAACATCAAATAGGATAATTTTGCATAAGGCGATTCCGTAGTGTAAGGGGAAGAAGCGGCTGTGCCCTGCCCCCTATCTGACAAACACTACAAAAGAAGAAACGAGAACAATCATCTTCCTGGCCGAGAACTGTGCCTGGGAACTCCAAATATGAAGCAGAACAGCTACAAAACTGCGCTGTTGAATCCTTCATTACAATTACAAGATGAAGTATCGTGGTGGTGGTGTAATCCGACCTTCGTCACCGTTCATTTTACAAAGGTCACATGGGCTGTTCGAGGCATGGGCACCTACGAGGGCGAGGCAAACTAAGCAGGTCCCCCCCTCAGCATTTAAAAGAATCAGAACTGAAGAAATTTAAAATTATTTTAATCAGTAGAAATGGTCTTAGAGGGCTTAAATATAAGTTTATAAGCACATTTTCTGGCTCCCCTTCTTGAAAAAAATCTTGACAGCACCCATGCCTCTAAGTCATACATAAATAAATCCAACCACAACACTATTATGCAAGGCCGTATAAATTTGCTGTCGGTGTTGCTGTCGTTGCTACTATTATGCTTTAGAAGAATTCTGAAGTTCTGTGCCTAAGTTCCATGTCATGATATACCTAGAATTCCACGCTTTCTCAATCTTGACTCTCACTGGAGATGAATCGTCACCTTCAGGATCCATCTTCTTTATTTTTCTTTTTTGGCGCTACAGCCCCAATTTGGGCATTGGCCTATCTCCATGAAACTATCCGTTTCACTTCGGGTTACTAGATCCTAGATGTACTTCTTTTGGCTTATTTTGGACTTCACCCATCGTCTGGTATGTAAAAGACAAAACACCACGACGTTTCGGAGACTGGATTTGTCTCCGTCTTCAGGTGAAAACTTTTGTCTTTTACATACCAGACGATGGGTGAAGTCCAAAATAAGCCAAAAGAAGTACAGTATATACCATCGTCAGAATCTTTTCAAGTCTAGATCTTAGATGTTCGGTAGGACTCCTTGGACGGATAATCAGCTCGTCGCAAGGCCTCTGCCTGTACACAAACAGAAAACCGCACATACACACACAAATACTAAACATCCATGCCCTGAGTGGGATTCGAACCCACGATCCCGGCTTCCGAGCAAGCGAAGACAGTACATACCTTAGACCGCTCGGCTACCGTGACCGGCATCAATCTTCTTTACCTGGAGGTAAAGAGCCCCGACACCCACTGGACAGAAGGGTAGGCGAGTTTCAGAGCCGGTCTGAACGGAAGCTGAAGATAAAAAGTTCTGGTCCTTATAAGAATCGAATCTTCCTGCCCCTAGTGTCATTTGACTGAGCTATCCTGACTGGCAGTGATAGTGGTGGGTGCAGCAGCAGCAGAACGCTTCAAGTGTCCTTGTTTTGGAAATTGCTGAAATTGGTTTGAATATTTATGGAATAATTTGTATTTAACTCTTTGGGAACTGAGGCAGAAATGCAACTACTTACGTTGACCAACATAACTCCGACGACGACCATCCACCCCCACCCCCCATCGGGAGCCACCAGCTTGCGACCTTCCTTGTCCACTGCTCCCATACTGATAATCTGTAAACAACGAAAGCTAATTATAATTACGAGGTAATGCGGCTATATTTATCTTCCAAACACCACTACAAACCTATTTTACAGGGCTTACGTGACGAAACAAATAGCCTTATCATTTAAGGATGTCGTGGTTTTCACATTATGACCTCCACGACGTCAGTCTACACTGCACGGCCGTACAGTGCGGAGCGGTGCGGAGATCTGGGACTCTGAAATCGATCTCTCGCGCACGCGGGAATGGCGAACGCGTGGTTCAGTGATTCGCGGCAAGCTCTCAGGCGATCGAACTGAACAAATTGATTCTACCTGTGAGGCCTATATTTTATCCTTACGGTGTGAATTTCAGTTATGGCACAGACTTGTATATTTCGAATATGGTCTTTATTGAGTTATGACAACATGTGTTGTAGCAGGTGGTTGCCGTTGTTTCGGAAGAACCTATTATCCCAGCCATTACAGACGGCGCCTTCCTCTGAAGCAGCAAGACCGGGATCTAAGTATTCGCCCTGATGAAACCCTCAAATCTGATATACTATACTAACAAGCGTAATTCTGTGGTGGATTTCAGAATTCTGAAACCAATTTAAAAAAAAAAAGTCATGTGTTTTGACCTGAATATACGGTAGACCCACTGTTTTGCCGCATATACCACGCGTATCTTCTACAAGTAATTGAGTAGGAAAGTGCAGAGGAAACAATTTCGTTTCTACTCGTATTTGCATTTTTTTGCAGTAATTTGTAGAAACGTGCTGCTTACATTTTCAGGGAACCGAAACGTCGGTAAAGATCTAGCAGAGTACACTGTGTCACATCCCGGGTAACAATAATCTCCATAGCCACTTCTGTGAGGACGAAAAATCTCACAACGTAGCCATATCAACATTCATTATTGTCCATCTCCAAATTGGTAATCCTAGGCCACACAGGTCATACCCGATGTCCGCACAGAACTCGCATCCAGGACCTCCAGAACAAGGCGCACAAATGCAAAACAATAAAAAGTCCGGAGCAGCGTTTTAAATCGACTGTCTGCAGACAATCGTACTGACTGCACCGATCTCTCAATGTAGCAGCTTAATTAGCATATGAATGAGCATTGCTGCTCTGCCCAATAGCACGTCAAGTGTTCTGTAATTCGTGTTAATATGCTGTGTTTGAGAATAGGACATTTAACGGTACACAGGGGCTTCATAAAATACAGTTTTGGAAGGGAATTCATGTTTCTATCCGTAAGTTTCAGTCCAAAACAATTTAATGTATCTGATTAACTCTGGCACTGTTCGGTCCTATATTAAATTTAATTTTGGCACTTTCAGTTTAATAATAATGAGCTGCTTTATTTTGAAGTAAAAAAGTATGAAATGCAGCCTATACGTAGCTTACGAAATTCGGTATCTTCAATAACTTTTGTTTCAAGACTCAACACACTCATGGAGAAAGAATATACAACAGAAAATGTGTTTTGGTTTTCTCTAAAAGTTTTGATGGAAACATTTTTTTACTGTGTTATACAGTTACCGACATAATGAGGAGCTTCATAACTTGTGCTCTTCTCGAAATATAACTAGCAGTGGCGGCTCGTAGGTAAAACTAGTGTTTGTGCTGCTCCAGAAAATTTGTAGCCTTTGTTTTAAAATTGTATGAAAGGAAACAAACAAGTATAAAAAGAGAATTTATTCAGAAACTTGATAAAATCCTAAAAGAACAAAATCAAACATTTGTTTACTTACTTTAACCTAAATTGTTACAGTTCAAGCTTAATCTATTCATTTAAAAATGAAATCCATTCTTCTTGTTTTAATTTGCGCGAAAAGATCAATAATTTTCTCCTTGATCTCTGGATGACAACTGTGGAAATTGTCTCCATTGAAAGCACTGCAAGCGCATTTAGTCTTTCCGAATTCACGGTGCTTCTTAGAAAAGCTCTGCCTCTGATGTAGTCATGGGAACTGTCAAGAGGATATTTATCAGTTTCGTAATTTCACTAAAAACATCATCTACAATATTTTCCAATATAAATTTCAGCAGCTCAATTAATGTGCAATGTTCATGAATGTCAGACTTACAATAGAATACTTTTAGTTCATAAATACAAACCACTCCGTCCAGTGTGACATGTAAGTTTTTACTACGTTAAAACTTATCTCCCTTACATGTTTCGGTCCTTACGGACCATCTTCAGAGGGAACATCATTACAAACTGGAAACTACCATCACAATAGGTGTTTGATTTAAAATACATACACTTATATCCTATAATGCACAGTATGCTTAAAGTCGAACGTTTCACAATCACAGCAGCTTCCTGGTGTTCTAAAGTTTTTAAAAGTTTCTAGATGTTATTTAAAAAACCTTTATTGTCAATAGTTAAAATTTTTAAACCACGTTAGATTCGTGTCCGTACTCCTATCGTCCTTCTTGTACGGAGCAGATTTTGTGCCGCCTGTCTATCTTGATGAGGAGGTTCTTGATGTCTTCTAATATTAGGTCCTACACTACAGCGGCTCGTTAGACAAACTCGATCCTTACACATTGAAAGAAGGAATTCTGCCATCACGAAATTGTATAAGTTTCAAGACACGTTATATCATACATGCTATTTATTTAACCTCATCAGTTGATATAACAACGTTTAATGATATGACATTCAGACTGATAAATATAAGAAACAAAAATATCTTAACACGCGTTACATTACCTTCTTCCCTTCTTATCTTCAGCCTTGAGATCCAGTTTGCATAGTCAATATTACAATATTTGTTACCTCACTCAAAGTTATGCTTAACAGATGGTCCCCGCAGTTCAGAAATACACTACACAAATATGTTAAATATTTCAAGGCACTTCCAACACATTTCACCGTTTCACTGTAGTACATAAACTCGTTCACAGGGAATGTCCAAGCTTCTAACACACAGTAAACATAAGCCCGAAATGCTGAGCCAGTTCTAACCCGCCTACGGCCAAACATGTGTTCTCTCCTTATCTTCAAGGCCGACAGGGGAAATGAACCGTAAAGGTGGGGGGGGGGGTTGTGCTCATGGACCACCTACAATTGGTACAAATACAAAAACTTCGCGGAATACAGGCAGTGCTGCAACCGTGCCAATAATCAGTACTAAAGAAACTTTTAGATTTTGTTATTTATCTGCGGTTTGGCCTTCTCAACGAGTACGCACACTTTTTGTCCCGCGGCAGTCCGTGAGATATCTTGTAAACAAAATCGGTGTCGTCAAGGGTCGGGGGGGAGACAGACATCTCTCCCTGAAGATTTAAAAAAAGAAGTCTCCTGGTATATGCTAGAGAAGTGGTTCCCAAACCCAGGGCCGCAACCCGAACTTAAGACTAGTGGGTTGCTAAGTCCCAAAATATTAATCGAACATGGTGGCTAATGTAATTATGCGCTTACGAAGTGTAAACAAAAACAAAAGATAACGCTATCCCTGTAACAGGCCGTGGAGGCCCATAGGGTTGTGAGACGTCAAGGCTCCCACATTTTCTAGACAGTCGGCTTACAGATGGCGGTAAGGTTGTGAGCCTTACGCGCCGGCCGCTCTTTATCCCCCCCCCCCACAAGATTCCTGGTACTCATTTCTGTTAGAGACTGAGTTGACCCCAGGGCCGTAGTGCGACTGGAAGGATTAGATCAACTGAAAGATCCAATGATATCGGGAATCGAACCCGCGACCTTCCAACTTGTAGCATAGTGCCTTGACCAACTGCGCTGCAAGTGTAAGCAATCCCAACAATAACTTATTTACTATTATGTCAAGGCCGTACCAAAACTCAGGCGGTTAATCGCCGGCTTCCCAGCGCGGAGATCTGGGTTTGGGATTTGTAAGTGACAAAGTAGCACTGGAGTAGGTTTTCTCCGACAACTTCGGATTCCCCAGCCAATTCTCATTCCACACTCATCATCTATCGCCCGTGGCTGGTACAATAAGGCAATTAGTGGCCGATGTACCAAGTAGACTCAGTCTCACCCCACTCCAAGAAACTAAAAAAGAACTCTACTAGTATGTTATAAATCTACCGCGAACTTCTGGGGTGCTGACTAGGTACAGGTGTCATTTGGGTCACAAGGCAAAGTGAATTTAAACTCGCGTCGTGAGCAGGAAAGCCTGGGAGCCATACCTCTAAGGAGATCAGTAAATAGAGTCTAAAATAGCTTTTAAGTTTACAGACACATTTTCCGGCTACCCCCTCTCCCCTTAGGGAGACAGTTCTGGCGGCACTCATGGAATTGGCCCAAGTTGGTCTATGAGCACTCAATTTGTCCCCTGAAAATTATCATTTCGTCAAAATCACACGCACGCACGCGCACACACACCACAAGTGGCTGGTATTCTGGGCCCATTTCAAGTTGCAGTGTACTCACTTAACGACGCTGTTAGTAACTCAGACTATACAGTTTCGAATGATAGGAAGAATTGTGAATAATGAATTGGAAGGAACGTGAAAGGAAGTGGCTGTGACCTAATTTGAGTTACTATTCGCCATATTTCGAGATATTAATTTTCCTGATATACTGTTTATATTATAACTAGGGACCGGATTTTTATGCCCTAATAATCCCTTAAATATGTATGCATTTATGCAATAAAAACTTCCGAAATATGCATTAAAATATGCACATAAAAATTTATACCAAATATTAAAATTGATTTTACATTATTTTAAGACTAACAAATCAATATTTAAGTTCATTTTATGTAATCACTGAATGATTCATTTGCAATAAAAAGCTATACTTAAATACAAATCATGCAACAAAGCAAAGATATTTCATTACAAATTTAAAAAAAAACAATGGTACTCATATTTAGCTCTCCGAACTTTCAACTTCTCTTCTGTTGCAGTTCACAATTACTAAATGTTTTAGGTTTTCCATAGTTAGTCGCCTCCTACTGTCTCGTAAGATGTCCTTATATAGGGAAAAACTTCTTTCCACCTCACAGGAACTTAGGGGCGCATGTACAAAAGCCGCTATTTGCTCCACTGTTAGTGACTTTTTACTTGGCAGTTCAGTACGATTACCGGCTAAAGTTTCTTCAATTTCACAAATTTGTTCATATCCTGGATTTTTTGAAAGAATGCTGTGTACTTTTTCCTTTACTACTTCACCGACTCTTCCAGGAACCGAATTCAATTTGGAAACAGTGGTTGGAACACACTTAACGACTGATACAAAGTAGTGTTGCTATTGCTTGCCTCCAGTGAGGAAATGGCGGATGGAAGATGAGAGGAGTGAGCAGATATATAGGAAAGATTAGTTTCTAGTTCTGCGTTTTTTAGTACATCTTGGGCAATTTGAATTGATGCTGCACTTTTGGGATCAAATGTATTCACGACATTCCTAACTGTTTCTAAATGTTCGGTATAATAACTCGCTGCACACAGCCACGTGCCCCAGCGCGTTAAAATTGGTTCTGGCGGAAGTGGAACGCTCGGTGCTACTGCTTTGAAGGCTTCTTTTCTGTATGGCGCTTTAACAAATACCTTCTTCACAGAAGACACCAACTTGTCAACAAGCGGAAAATTTGCACGAATTGTTTCTGCAACACGGTGCAACCCATGGGCAAGGCAAGTCAAATGTGTCATATTTGGAAATATAACTTTAAGAGCAGTACCGGCTTTCATCATATAACTTGCGGCATCAGTCACAAAGAGCAATACGCGCTCATACTGAATGCCATTCGGCCATAGTAAATTCATGGAATTGATAAAAAATTCGGAAACTGCGGAGCTATTTGTGGTTTCAAATTGCTCTACCGCAAGAAGATATGGGGTAGATTGTTCATTCTTATTAAGGGATCCAACTATACAATTTGCAATAAACCGTCCCTCACAATCTTGTGTTTCGTCGATTGATACCCACACAAAATTATCTTGAATCTTATCTCTAATGCTTTCAATTGTAAGATCGTAACACTGCTTCACGTAATTTTTGCGCACAGTAGATTCATCCGGCACTTTGCACTGTGTATACTTCTCTATGAAGTTTCTCAGAGTAGGATTGGTTAGTTTCCACAGCGGAATATCTGCCGCTAAAAAGGCTTCGCATAAATCAAAGGAAAACTGTGAAAAACTATTATTAGAAAATTCACTAAGCAATTTTTGAACAGGAGCACTTTTCGTGGATTTAATTTTAATATTCTCTTTGTGTATATTAGTGTTCAAATGCTGAAGCACTTGAAAGCGTTTTTCACAACCAACTGTTTTCTCACACGCTCGGCAATAAAGAATTTCGTTATCCGTACTTATCATCTCTCCTTCGAACTCCCGCTGATACAGCTGTAATTTAGTTTTCTGACTTACTTTCACTTTCGGCATGACTACAGAAAGCTAAACAAACTTAACTACAGACTAGTCACCACTAATGTGAATGGCCCCCAGCTTCAAATGAAGAAGCGTAACGAACCTCATGGAGACTTCGGAAATAAATAAGTGAAGTCCCTTATCGGTTGAATAGTATTACGTTGATAGCGGCTACATGTGAACGCTTCCGACTAATCTCTTCGCGGCCACTTTGATGGTACGCGGATGAGGCAAGTTACGAGTAGAGGGATCGGGGAAGTCCCGTCCTGGGTATTGCATCAGAAACATGAATCATGACAAAATGTTGAGTCAAATATGCAACATATTCTAATACGGAAAAGAAAAATTGTATACACACGACCATGATTGAAAATTTGAACATAAAATTAAAAAATATATATGATAAACATTTTAAAAAGGAAATATGCAGTATAAATAGAGATCTTCGAAAATATGATGCTTATTCATAAAACAGGCAAAATATGCATTTATATGCACCATCAAACCATGTCCAAAATTTAAGAAATGAAGTAATTCATACATATATCCAAACGAGCATACTTTCTGGTTGCAAGAAAGAAATATACATTTGCATTAAAATCCGGTCCCTAATTATAACGAGATACAGATTACACCCTAAATATATTTAGTTTACTTCCTTCTGCTGATTACATGTTCTTATAAAAACCCAGACATGTTCCTGTCATAAATAATCAAATCCCGGGGGTGTACCATATTAAAGGAAAACTTTACAATTCATAAATAAATATATATAAAATATAAAGGATTAAAACTAATATTATGTTAAAATCCATATATGTAGGCTGTAAAGTAAAGTACATTTGTTCCTGTACTTAACTAATTAAGCACTATGCCATAAAGGCGTATGGGGGAGAGAATATATAGGTACACGTTTTCTTGACTTCGGCACCACTTGGAGGTGAGCGGTCTGCTTCACGCCCCAGCAGCTTTATCCCGGGAAAGGAACCCATGGTACCCATTGTATAGGAAGCTGGGTGGGTCCCAGTACCACTCTGGGCGATGTTGAGAAGAAGAAATTCTTGGCTCTGCCGGGACTCGAACTCTAACCCCTCAGTCGTCCAGCTTGTAGCTAGCCACTATACCGACGGCGCTATCCCAGCTCCCCATTCTTGAAACAAGTACTAAACTTTATTTTGGGTGGCTACCACACATGAATTATGACAAAGCAACGGATATCAATGTGAAACTACAAAGACGTTGATACACACAAGGTACAATTATTAGACAGTAAAGCCGGGTCCAGACTTGTTGCGTATCCCTGTATCGTATCTCCGTTGCGTATCGTCCAATGCAACGCGACAAAATTTGGCGTCCAGACTTGTTGCGTATCTCCCTTGCGTATCAACCGATGCAACGCGATAAAATTTCTCCTTGGCAACGAAGAAATGAATCTCAGTCTGTAGCCAGATTTCAGTCAGCATTGACTACACCCAACCTGACGGTAGCAGCGGCCGCGTACATCTATCTTCACTATGCTATAAAGGGAAGAAGAACAAAATCACGACGTTTGTGGATATCACCGATCTATGCCAGTAGGAAAGTATACAATGGGTCCAATCTTTTGGCGGACTTAAATTTTCAGTCAGTCAGTGGGATGTACAAAAATTTCACAAGGATGCATCCGTCAGATTGTAATGTTCTGTGTTTAGGGGATTCCAAATAACATCCCTCTTTTTATATTCATCAA